AGCGCCATATAGTAGCTTCAGAACTAAAAGATGCTTTCTTAACAAGAGCATCGGTTACCATATTGGCCTCACAAAAAATATGGGAAATTGACCATATACGATTTGAAAGTCTACTTCGACAGTTTGTTGCAACGAATGGCATTCACCAATAAAGATGAATCACTTTTTACTTGGAGAGAAAAGCAATTCTCCTAAATGGCTAGACAAATACCTTTTTCAAGGGCAAGAAACTCAACATAATTATTAGAGACATATCCAAATGACTTAGAGAAGCCATCAACAAAAGCACCATTACTATATCTGATAACACTACTAGCACCTGCCAAAACTAGGTTCTATAAAGAAGCACCATCGATATTTAACTTAAAATACTGGTGATCAGTGAATGACCATACGACCAGGATAATGGATCTAGGTTTCTGTTGACACCATGTAATTTAGAAATTATCAATAATTAATCTCTTCGATGAATTAAAAACCCATTTTTTTGCGTCGCCAACTCGTTAAGATGAGACAAAATTGGCTTAACAATATATTCCCTTCTTGTAGACTTTGACTGAAAGATTATTCTATTTTGGTAATCCCATAAGAACCAAATTGTTGTAAAAAAAATAGAAGTCAAAATATTACGAAGACCATCTGATTTAATTCTAAAGGCCAACTCGCTTCTCAACATGACAGGAGCCGAAATACTAAGGCTAAACTGCTTACCACACCGCCATGCGACTGATCTCCATACACTGCAAGAATACACAGTGAAATAATAGATGACAAATACTATCATCATTGGTACTACAAAAAAGGCATACCGGATCCTAATTAGTACCACACCGATTAAAAACTACAATGGGTAAATGATTATGGAGAACCAACCGAGAGAACCATTTGGCTCTAGGATAACATTTGGAGAACCATTTGCCTCTAGGATAACATTGCAAGATCAAAGAGCTCGGAAAATAAGCTATAATGAACCTTTATCTCGAATAAAATCTCACGCCTCTTTAATTGAAAACAAATGATTAGTGGAGTGCATCCATACTAAAAAAACCTTTTTAGGTTGTAAAGGTATAATGTAATTCTTAACCTTCCCCATAAACTGACAAGAGGAGCTAAAGTGGGTGAAGGAAGACTGCCCTGATAACAAAGTCCGCTGTAATCAGAGACTTTCCACCCAACAAAGTCCCCCAAATCCTCATGTACACTGCCACCATAGAAGTCCCATATAGGTTGCCATCTACCAAAAAATTCAAGAGCTAGCCATCACCAATAATCCAATGGACCTTATCCTTTAGGTGAGATAAACCCAATAGAATACCCTTCCAAGCCTAGAAGTACCACGATTTCTCCTTGACCTCCCAAATTGAATTATTCCTGAAATATCTGTGCTTAAAAAATCGAGCTAAGGGAGACGAGGGACCTACCAAGATTCTCCATGCCACCTTCATCATTCCTGCAATATTAAAATCTATAATATTACGTATCCTTAGCCCCCCCTCTTCCTAAGGCATGCAAACTGTCTTCCATTTCACAAGGTGAACCCCTGTTTTTACTCCACACCTTCCCATAAAAAATTCGTTTTCAACCTTTCAATCATATTGCAAGTTCGTTTTGGTAGAATAAAAGATAAAATCTAGAAGATAGAAGATGTGCTTAGTACTGATTTCAGAAACTGTAATCGACCTGGATAGGATAAACAAAGAGCTTGCTATGTACCAATCTTGCCAATAACCTTGCCCATCAAACTGTGGTAATTTATGTGCTTTTAAGACCATAGAATAGAAGCAAACCAAAGTATCTAACCTGAAAGTAACCTTCTCCAATGTCCAACTTCCTAAAATAGTGGATCGAACACTCTGTGTTGTATAAAGCTTCTGACCAGTAGTGAGTTCAAAGATTGAAATAATCCATTTCATCATAATGGCAGAGGTAATAGATGCTTTGCAAATCATTAAAGCGTCACTAAAATAAATGAGAAACCCCGAATTTTCTTGCATTCTGCTACTTTCTATCTTGCAAAAGTACAACCATCTACTCTGTTAGATTGTGCACAGTCTCTGCGAACCTATCGAGTTCATGGCCTACATTTCTTCGGCAATGGCACCTACCTCGAGCAGCCATGACGATTGACAAAGCCCACCAACTGTAGCTCTGATACCATATGGTGCAAAATCGACACTGAAAAGTGTAGATGCTACGTCTAAGGGTGAGACAAATTGAAATCCACTATACTGATGCGAATTGCATCACATATTTTGGGACATGGAGTTCCTTCTCTAAACTCCTTGTCTAGAATCCCATTTAAATCAACTCTCCAGATCCAAATCACCTGTGGATCATCCTATTTGTATTACATAGCTAAACCATAGTCCGATAAGAAATGTTTAAGAGCGACTGAGACTTTCTCTCATTATAAAGGATACCACCAAAATTCACCCTCTTAATTACTTCTTTACAAGAAACCAGTTGCTCTCTAAGAAGCTCACTTACCCGTTTTCATAATATTTATCTTTGTTGTCTTTGCTGGGAAAAATTGTAATCACCATCATATTTCTCCACCTTAATCAATACATTCACATATTTCACCTTATGCTTTTATTGAATGCACAACTTAGGCCTTCTAGTAAACCAAATACTCTGGTACCACTTGTTAGGTTCTAAATACCACCCTTTTAGATGCTAGAATCATGAACTCGCAATATTAGAATCCCACTAGGATTGTGAACTCAACTTATCACAAACAAAATAAGCAAGTACAAACCACAATACGAGCATGAGAAATAAAGTATGAAAACATATATACAACAAGAATACTAAAATTTACATGGTTCACCTATAAGAGGCTTCAACCACAAGCTTGGCAAACTGAATTCCATTATACCGTTGAGAGTTTCATAACATAATTTTTCAGAGTTACCTCTGTAACTCTTGTCAACTTATATTTAAATACCATAAGTTTCTGTTACCAATTCTCAAATCTTATAAATGAACTACAATGTTGACTTGACAATATTGTTCTTAGTGAGAAAACTAGGACATTGTCTTTAATATACAATAGTTTTTAAGTGGGAGTGGTTTCTATAAGGTTGCGACCTCAGACAATCCAATTAAGGTTCACCCCCAAATTTTATCATAACATGTAATTTTGGTGTAAATGTTTTCTAGGATTATCTCAAAATCCATTTTCATATCTAATTATAAAACTTTAAACTCCAAAAATGGCTAACACCCTTCACATTGTGGTTTCCATTCCCACCACTAACACCCTCCACTAATACCTTCAAAAAAAGCTAACTCCTAATCTACTTGAAAAACTGGGTAATGGGCCTATCTTCCCCACAGGATTACCTCCAACAAAAAAAAAAAAAGAAAAAAAAGGAAAAAAAAAAGAAAAAAAAAAAGAAAAAAAAAAAAAGATACACTATTTTCATGACCTAAAATATTTTAGTTTTTTTTTCATATCCATACAACTCAATGTCAAGATGATGAAGTAGAGGTTTTTCAATAATAAAAGCCCTTTTTTGATGGATTTTTGAGGTGCATCCTTGCAACCTTATATGAACTTCTTCCTTTTTAAGTACTAGCTATGTTTATTTTTTTTCGTCAATGCAAAATTCAATTATTCAAAATACTTTATTTGTGCATTTCATTCCTCTTGAATTTATTTGTTATTCTTTTTAATGTTTTAATGTATAGTAGCAAACCAATTTCCTAATATTTTCAATTGTCTTAAAATTTGGTGAAGCATTTATTTAATATATGCTCATAACATTTGTAAAAAAAACAAAACAAAACAAAACAAAGATTTTTTTTTAAGAAGTTTCAGTTTTAGAATATTTTAAAAATATGTTGTCTTAGTCACAGAATTAGGAAAACCATCTTTATTTCTTTAATTTACACACATTTTAGTATTTTAAAATTCATGCCTATTCCACTTTCAGATATTTTCATAATTTCCTTTATAAGTGTAATTATTGGTTTTCTATTCTTTTTGTTTTTAACTTCTAAATTTCAAATGCATTTAAAATGAATCATAAAGCATATATGGACTACAATAAAGCATATAATTCGTAAAATATGACCTAATATTATAATAAAAGATGATGTTGTTCTTCATCTTGGTTACATTTGTGCCATTGATTGAATTCGCGTGACAATTCATTGACTTGATCTAGGAACAAACCATCTAAATGAGTGGGCACCTGAGATTAACTCATAGTTTTAATCAATAAATTGTTTTAAAAATAATTAGTCAAAGAACCATAAAATTTTACAATATGTATTTGCATTAAATAATTGACAATAAAGTTGAACAATACAAGTTATTTCCATATGATAATAATAAATTTACAATCAATTGAATATAATTCACAATGTTATGATATTAAAAATATTATGTAATGAAAATGAAATTGTTGTTTATATTTTATAATTATTTTACTATAACAAATCAAAAATATCTTATAATATCATCAAATTTAAAAAATCTTATTTACAACTATAAGAAAAATAATACATGACATGATTTATAACGTAAATAAATAAAATACAAGATTTGGTTATCAATATATAACTATTAATTATAATAGTGTAGTAAACACGATTAAAAAATTATTAGAAAAGGCTTCCATATCATATGATTAAAATTAAAAATAAAACCACCAATAAATTCTAATGCTATTATATTAAAAAAATTCAAAAAAACTTTACCCAAAAAAAAGAAAAAATGAGGATGTCAATTTTTTTTAAAAAAACAGCTATTGGCAATATGCACAATAGCTACAAAAAAACAAAAAAATAAAAATAAATATTGTAATAAAACCTATCAAAAAACTATTTTACTAATAAATAGCAAAAAAATTTATATGGCCGTTTTTTAATTTGATACGCTAGTTAATTTCTTTAATTAAAAAATATGTTGATGAGGCTCGACATGTTAATTTAGAGACATGACGTGCTCATTTTCGTATGGATGCTAAGCGTATGGTTTGCATGGCTATTAGGTTTGTTCTCATGTGGTCAATATGGACGATGGCTTGCACGCTGCTGAAGGTGCAACAGTGAGAATTGTCCCACATCCAAAATATCAAGGGGCTTTCATGTCTATAAAAGACGTGAGGACGAGTACATGACCAGCTCGTAAATGAATGGGATATGGGATAAGTTATTGTGAGTGGTAATGTTATGAGAATTGGCAGTTTAGGGCGGTTCATTGTAGAGAATCGTTGATTCTCTTTTAGAACCGGGTGAACTGATTTTCCGTCTCAACTCGAATTGACACGGGGTGACCGATTCTCGTGCACCCCGTTCTCGTGTCAAATCACTGACAGTAACCATAGTTTGATTGGGCTTGTTCAACCTGCTTTGAATTGGCATGTTCAGACTTTTGGCTCTAGTTTTAGTCATAAAGATCTTTCATTATAATAAATGCAACAATAGTATTAGAGTAAGCAATAATTAACCCAAAGCCTTCTTGAATTTTGTATTATGAGTACTATGGGTCAAACATGTCACCCAAGATCTTTCTAAACTTTTTTAAATTGCTATGGGTCTGAAGAATATCAGGAATGAATTTATGAGTACTATGGGTCAAACATGTCACCCAAGATCTTTCTAAACTTTTTTAAATTGCTATGGGTCTGAAGAATATCAGGAATGAATTGTTCGGTCAGGGAACCCCCTAGATAATGGGATCACATGCAACATGTTTAATGCATACTACTTAATATGACCTAATATATAAGCTCCATTATCATTGAATTAAAATAAATCAACTTATTTGATAATCTGGTTAGAAATAACCAATTCATTGCCTAACATGCTTTTAATAAAATTTGTTGGCATTGATATTATGCCCTTTTCCTTTTATTTTTCTGATAATTGTTTAATTTTTAGCTTTAGTTAATTTCTGCCCTCATTCACTGCTTAGATATTTCTAAGATCATGATATTTTGAGATAGCTAGTTTGCGATATCAAAAATACAATATGACTTTCCTTCTAGTTTCTGTGGTGACTTTGACACTAATTATTGTCTGCAAAGTATATATGTTATGTAACATTGGTACTTATATTAATTTAATGATTACTAGGAACCAATTCTTCCAGGTAGCTTTCTTCGAGCTCGAGCTATAGGACTGATGCCCATGATTGACCAGGTATTTGATTACTAGAGGAGAACATGCAGAATTCAAACTCTTGGTCTTTTTCACTTTTCCAAATTTATTTAGTTATCAACGATTATCTGAATGTATTTTGTCGTTTCTGGGCATGGAAAAAAGGGTGAGAAGGATGAAAAGATAATTGCAGTGTGTGCGGATGATCCAGAATATCGACACTACACTAACATCAAAGAACTCCCTCCTCACCGTCTACAAGAGATTAGGCGATTCTTTGACGAACAAACTGCTCCCCTCACATAGTTTGAAATTACAGTAATTCATTAAAACTGTATGGTATGTGATAGGGGGGGGTTTATTTCTCTTCTTATTTAAGTAGGTTTAACATGTGGTATGTGCTACAGGGATCTTTATGCAACCTACATCTTGAAAAGCTTGAGACGTTAATGGACCATACGATTGGATATCTATGGATTATCAAAAGATACTATATAATAATTCATATTCTTTATTTCATAAAATCACTTGGACTATTATTCATTTGATGTGCCAATAGTTGAATAAATCCATCCTGCTATTGCTTTTTCATTTTTTATTTATTTCAAATTTGTCGCTTGATCTTTGCTTTACAATACATTTGTGGCGTTATATTTCTTGTTTGGCTAAATTCACCTTAGAAGAGGTTCAGATTTTGTACGTGCTTTGCCATGTACAAGTCTTTTTGGCTTATCAATTCAGTACTTCGAACTAATATATATGGCCAAAAAAACAACTATTGTTGTTGGGCCTTGGGCTACATATAAATATTGATAATTGTAAATGTTTTTTTCGTGCTTGAGATTCCTTTCTTGGCTTTCCATTTATTGGAACCTAGAAACATAGTTAGGATTCATCGAATGTTTCTTTTATTTCTCTCTTCTATGCATAAGTATCCATCCTATGGTCTCGTCATAGGGATGACAATGGCAGAGTGGCCTGGCCGGGCTTTGCCCTAAAACACTAGGACGACTTGGACCGCATAATGTGGTCTGCGGGCCAGGCTACGGATGGGCAACTATGGCCCCTAGGTTAGAGCTAGGTCGCTTTTGGGTCAAGGCTGGCCTGGTTTAGCTCGATCCGCCCTCTTATTTCTTGTTGTATTCTTTTTTTATCTTTAAATTTTATTTGGCATAGCCTAGCCTGGCCCAACCTTGATAGAGGGCGAGGTGCTAGGCCTCGTCCAGGGCTTCTTTTGCCCGGCCAGGGCTTAAGCAGGCCCTATGGGGACATGGGCTGAGCTAGGGTCAAGGCTGGCCTGGCTTAGGTTTGGACATTGCTAGTCCTATCTCTTCATCACATTCATACCCATAAATAGGACTTGATGAGACATGCACATGTGACCACATGATTTGTATGGTCACATGGATGACAAAATTCCTTCCCCAACAATTGTAGAGCAAGCTAGTTAAAATGCCCTTTGGGCAGGTATTTTCGTACACACCAAAAGGAGATAAAATGAAAAAAAGAGGGTAAAAAAGATATTAAAACATGGATCGGCTGCTTGGTTCGGCCCTCCTTGTACTTATCTCGGTCCTCCTTTGTACCAAATTGGTCGGCCAAAGGCGGTCTATGTGAAAGTAAAATTAAGGGTGTGGTTTGTATGGAGTCTAGGCTCTAAACAATCAAGAGACTACCTTCAAATAGTGTTGAGCAATGTGGTTTTAATATTGGAAATCTTTGTGATAGCCTTAAAATATATTTTCATATTTGTTTATAAAGTTTAAAGTTTAAAAAATAGTGTAGTTCGACATATCTATGAAAACTTGAAAATCGTGAAAATTGATGGTCCAAAAATGCTATACAAAATGCACTATTTCCAAAACTTGAAATCAATTTTTTTCTCATGCCTAGGCATCTTGATGTCGAGATGATCAATTTGAAGATATTTGGGCATCAAACAACCTCTTCTAGTGAGATTTTTGAGGTAGGCTCAAATTTGATCGTTTAGAGTCTGGGCTCTGTATAAACTTTTCCCTAAGATTAAAATTGATAAAATAGGAGAGAAAAATTGCATAAATTATTTCATTCTATGAAATATTTGTAAAATTAACATAGATCAACAAAAAAATTATATTATAGAAGGGAATAATGGGTTTGGAAAAGAATATCATTGATTCTCAATTCGGTCGAAAGAGGTATAAAAAATATGACCAAGTCGAATGTTCCCAATGAGTGTCGACTATTTTTAAAAGGGTGTGGCATGTATAAGGTTGAACAATCCAATTAAGGGGCACCTCCAAATTTTATCATAATATGTAGTTTTAGTGTAAAACATTCTTAGGATTATTTGAAAATCTATTTATATTTCTATTTATAAAATTTTACAGTCTAAAAATGGTTAAAATCAAGGAGATCTATAATCTTATAAATTTTTTTGAAAGTGGACAGTCTAGATAATGTGTGGCAAGATGCATTATTCCTGGGAGTCAAAAATTATTTTATTTATTTTTTCATATCCATATATCTCGATACTGAAATGATCAATTAGAGGGTTTTTTACCTTAAAACTACATTTTCTGATGAATTTTTGAGGTGCTTCGCTAATTTTACATTTTAAGGTTGCAACCATGTATATAAACATTTTTTCTTTTTAAATATCAACAATTTTTCAATCCCTTGGCGAAACCATATCCATTCATTAACGCTTTCAAGATATAGGGCTCTCTTCTACATGAATGTTGAATGCATCTACCCTAAATTATTGCTTTATGTAAATAGAAAACCGTTAGATAGATTTAGTAGTAGTCCTCTCTATCTCTATCAGACCATTTCTTGTGTTTCGACACACATGTTATTTTCTTTTTAATAGTGACAACAAGAGCCCCTTCATCACATTATTTACACTGCCAATTTTCAATAATTTCTATTATTTATATATCTAGTAGAATTGCATTATTTTAAGAGGTTTAAGTTTCACAATTATAGGGGAAAAACAATTGTTTAGGCCACAACAAACTTTTCTCGCACCAATGCTACATCTTTTAGTATAATTTAAAGGCGCACCTTACTTAGATTGTTTAAGGTTGATACCTTATACAAATGGCACCATAAAAAAAGAAAGTTCAAACCACTTTCAATTGGACCACGATTGTACCGTATGACATAGCATCATGTAATGCAAATAATTTTGTGATTATTTATTTTATTATTAAAATTTGAAATTTTTTAAAATTTAATGGAAATAAATTAGTGAAATTTTATTTTATTATTGCTTTTGAAATACAAATAAGGAATTCATAAATGGGTAGGGTTTTAGGTGCTTCAAAGCATGCCGCAATTAGAATGAGTCCACCCTTCCGAAATTCATTATTTTGGAGATGGAATTTAAATTTTAAAAAGTTTACTATGATCATATACCCAAAAGAAAATGGTTTTGAGAATTAAAAATCATGTGTTTTGTATTTTTTTTATCAACAATAGCGATCACCTAATTTGAGCCCTTGAAGATTGGCTTGAGGAGGAAATGCATTTCCGCTGATATGGGATATGATTTGGGTCTTAAACCTTGAAGGTAAAAAATGGGTCATCTAATTCGCATCATTTTAGAGCTCCTAAATCTCTTCAAAATTAGGCAGCTGCCTTACCAAAAAAAAAAAAAAAACACACACAAACATACACCCAATTTAGAATAGCCCAATATTTCATTGCGCATATATAAGTTCATAATATTAGGAAATTTCAGATTCTCAATTTTTTTCAAAAGAAGCCAAAAGCTTAAATAGTTCACATAAAAAGAGAAAGATGATAGAACTACAATTTACAGTAACCTCAAGGAGTCGTCCCAGAAAACAAACCCCCTAATAATAAGCACCTAAAGATTATAACTCAGAAAGTGACATAGAAAATAACAAGAAACTCGAAGGCGTAGTCCCATGACTCGGACTCGAACTCGAACTCGGTAAAGACTTATCGCAGCTAAAGAACAAATCGCCGTCCGACTCAGCGCCGTTAACCTCTTGGGTCTCAAGTGGTCTCAACGCCGTTAGATTCCTCACATCCCATGTGGCTAGTTTTGGCTTACTCCCCAAATGATCGGCGATATCTTGAACCTCCGTCTTGACACGTGGAACGTGATTAGGCGACCGAGCCCACTCACAGTGTGAGTCCGTTGATTCGCCGGAATCTTTTCTGAAATCTTCAACGTAAAATTTCATATTGCCGGAAAAGTCGCCAAAGAAGTAGTTCTTGCGTGAACGATGCATGGGAAAGAAGCAGGGTTGGTTCTTGCTTGAACCATGGGTGGAGCGGGGCTTCCACACGAAACGATCGGAGTTTCTTTGAGCGTCTCGCTTGACATAAGGAACCCCATTTGGCAATGAAGCCCACTTGTAGTCGGATCCAGTCAACTCACCGGAATAGTTGACGGAATCCTCGTCGGAGAAGTGGGTTTCATAGGAAACTTTGCCAGAGTAGTTCTTGACTGAACCTTTAGAGTGGTTACCAGAAAAGAACCGATAGGTAATCTTGCCTAAATGATGGTTGCCGCGGGGCTTCCCCTGGTAAGGATCACCCATTCTTTGAAGCCCTGTCTTGACAGAAAGAGTGCCACTAGGTGATGAAGCCCATCTATTGTCAGAGATCATCAATTGGTTGGAATAATTGCCGGAGTTCTTCCTGGTTGAAGTGCGTTTCCCGCAAGCCAGGCAGCCTTGACAGCGAAGTTTCCTGAAAATGGAGACAAACAAGGATTTAGAATTCTTTGATTTTCGTTCTTTGAAAGGAGATAAAGAAGATAGTTGTTTTTGGGATTTCTGCTAGGTAGTCATGGTGCTCGCTCTCTCTTTTGTTGTGAGAAAGATTCCAATGATAGTAGATTCCAAGCTCTGCCCTTCTTTTCTCTCTGCAATAGATGCCAAAGAGAGTAGACCGTCTTTCTCTCTCTCTCTCTCTCTTGATTCTAGGCTCTCTCTCCTTCTTGCAGTAGATGCCCAAGAGAATGCGTTTAGGGTTTCTTCTGTTAAGGAATGCGTTTGTGATTTTCCATCTTCATGGCATGTAGATTTATAGAGAATCCGTTTGAGGTTTTCTATCTTCAAGTATGAAGATGTATCTTCATGGTACTCTCTAATGGCTCTCTCGAGCAGCTAAATAATGGGCGCGGTTTCTATAGAGCCTAGCTCTAAACAATAAAATTAGAGCCTACCTTCAAATAGTGTCGAGAAATACGGTTTCAATACTGAAAATCTTTGTTATAGACTTAGGATATATTTTCATCTTTATTTATAAAGTTTAAAGCTTAAAAAATAGTTTAGATCAACAAATTTATGAAAACTTGGAAATATTGAAAATTGACGGTCAAAAAATGTGTTACAAAATACGCTATTTTCAAAACTTGAAATCCATTTTTTCCTCATGTCCATGCATCTTGATGTCGAGATGATCAATTTAAGGATATTTGGGCATCGAAACAACCTCTTCTAGTAAATTTTTTGA